TGGCTTATTTGGGGAAGGACAACTTTTGTTGTGGCTTTTTTGTGCAAGGTTTCTGGAGTTTGAGGTTCAGCTTAAACCTGTAGGTGGAAGCAGTGTAAAAAAAAAACAAACTGTTCTCTCCATCTCAATAAATTTGATGCTTCTTTCACAGCAATACTTGTAGTGAGACTTGCAGCAGTCACTTAGAGGTCTTGAGGAACTAGGAGAGGAGAGAATTAAGCTGCAGTTCATGTTATCTAAATTATGTGTTAAATCTTGCTACTGACAATGATGGATGATTGATACCTAGTGACACATGAGACTTTGTCCAGTCCTAATCTGAAATACTCTTATCTCCCAAAATAAGGCAATGCTACTCTTGTTATGTGGGCAGGTGGTCTTTATTTGCCCAGTGAGCCCAGCCTTAAATGCAGTCTGAATTTTTCAGTCTTAGAGGTGAGGTCTTTCATCTCTTGTCAAAACACATGAGGCTGCTGAAGTGTGCACTTGAAGATCATTGCAGTGTGGTCTGATAGAGCAGTTCAAGATTACAGCTTGGTGAATCTGACATGTGCTCTGCTTAGTTTCAAGCTGGGATTAGAAAAATCATTAGGAGAGCTCTTCCACGGGTAGTCTCATGGTAAACACACCTTCCCCATCACTGAATGTAAGTAGCACTTGAACATGAGCCCTGAGGACCCTCTCAATCAGACAGCAGGTTGCTGAACAATTACTCTTTGATGGTTAGGCTGGTCCAACCATCACCTTTGCCGTTTTTCTGGAGATATCTGAAGATGGTGAATAAGCAGCTCAGACTTGCTCTGACTGAGCGCAAGGAATTTCAGCTTCCACTACACGAGCTCTGCCAGCATTTTTAATTGTCCCTTTGTTCTAAATCAAGGTGTTTTCAGATGGGTCTGGCAGTGTTGTAGTTGCACTGTAAAGGCAAACAGTGAACTTTCCTGCAATCCTTTTCCTGAGTGTTTTTCTGCAGTTCCTGTTTATGAAGGTATGGGTTACAAAGACAGGGCATTAAGTAAAAATGTTGGGAACTATTAACTCCAGTACTGAATTTAGCCAAGCTACCTGTGTGTCATCTGTCCTGGGTCTGTCACAAGTTCCTAGACCACAGCCCTTTGACACGTGGTGCCTTGCCCTTTTCCTCCTCCTCCCCTGACATCAGCATATCTAGAGACTTCAGTGACAGCTCTGTCAGAGCTTTTGGGGCTTTGCTTTTTGGTAAATGAATTTTCAGACACTGAGCCACACCAGTGATGCACAGAGCACAACTGAGTGCTGACTTAAAGGACCTTTGTGGGCGGCCTACAACTGGCTACAATTTCAAGGCTGAAAATAACAATGTATATAGGCAGTGGATCACTTTCAACTCTCTGCTCCTTTAGCAGTAAGAATTGAGTCATAGAAGCAGGGTTTGCTTTGCTTAATGTGTGACTTGTTATCCTGCAATCCTAAAAAAAAAGTTTTTGTCCGTTAGCACTCCAGCAGCATAGCTGGAGGTAAATTGCTCAAGTGGCTACATCTCAAAGGAAAGCAGAGAGTACCATCTTCAGGACTTAATTGCCAGTTTAGTCACCTGGACTGCTTCCAAGTTTTTCTGGAAATGCTATGCTTGTCTGGAGCTTAATGAAATTCTTCAATCTTTTTTTGTGAGACCAGAGAAGGCCTGAGCCTTGTGCTGCCTGTGTAAGTCACTTGTTGTAAAGAACATCTTGTTTCTGGCTTGAGTCATACTCCATGTGTCCCTATCCCTTCTGGGGGTTGATTCATTTGGGAAGGTGCTGGAGCCACACTCAAAGCAGTGTCTCTTTCATGGCTTCCAGGTGAAAAGCAAACAGCCCTTCTTGGTGTGAGGACTTTATGAATTTTCTCCAAGCTTAGAATGCCTCAGAGCAGCACCAGCCCAAGGGAGGGTGCCCTGTTACTGTACCCTCTTCTCACTGGCAGTGGGAGTGACGCTGGCCTGGACTTCCTCAGCTGTCAGGGGAGCTTAGGCACAAGTGCCATCAATGAGTCAAAGCAGTTGTCAGCTTCCCATGCTGTGCTGGAAAGGTTTCTGGAGTTATCCTGAACATCTGTACAAGGTGGCACAAAGCCCCTTTGCTTGGTCTGACTGACAAGCTCCCATTGTAATCAAAGTCCTTGCATGACCAGAGAGGAGATACAGAATTTTCTTCTTGGATCTCCACTATAGTTCTGCTGGGATGTTGGCCCATCTCATGGTCCCTGCCAACTAAAAAGTCTTTAAAATACAAAAAAAAAAAAAAAAAAGCCAAATAAATCCCTTTATATTTGCTATAACCCAATCCTACTGCTTTGCCCAAGTCAACAACTTTCCAAAGGGGCATATTGTCTCATTGTTACATGATAGTTTGACTGCAATTCCCAGGGACAGATCTCTAGCCATTCTTCTTGAGAAAGCATGACCTATTTCTCTGAAATTTGCTAGCCAAAAAGATGTGTAAAGAGCTTGGGAAGAGGAGACCTGTCCCTTGTTTTTCTCATGCAGCTGTGTTAGAACAGGCAGAGTGACTTCCAGTGTTCTTGGTGAGCAGTTGACTATGAAAATATTTTCAATTTGGCAAAATTATATTCTGTAACTATCTCTAAATGCTGCCCTGAAGAAGCCTGTATATTGAGACACCCTCCCTGCTGCCATGTTCTGAGTCAGATTCTCTGGAGCTGAGAGCTGCAGGGGAGATGATTTGCAACTAGCAATGCAATTTTTCTATATCTGCTGATGTTTACCTTTAAAATTATATATAAATATATATAAAACTGTCTTTGATTTTTTTCTTTAATTTTTGTTCTTGTGTGGTGTAAAATGGAAGTCATTGCAAAACAAAATGTAATTTTGTTATCTTTGATTCAGTGGGGTTTCTTTATTTAAAAATAAAGGACTTATTGAAGTCAGTGCTACAGCTAGTGCCTGTGTGTGAAGTTCCATATGTTGGCAGAGGCTCTCAGTCTTCCCCGAGGCCCAGCTTGGGGAGCTGGCTGGGGGGAAGGTGATACAAGCACTCGTGGTGCTCAGGCCTGTCCTGGTTGCTTTTTGTCTTCTGGCCAAGAAGAGGTCTTTGATGCCACTCTGGTGGAGAATGGGTTAAAAAACCACATCTGCCGTGGAACTACTGAAAAAGAGTGATTTTTGCCAGTGGAGTAGAACATCTGTTATTTTTCCCTATGTGAGAGCAAGTGCATTTCCTAAGCTTTCAGCTGCTGGCAGGAGAAACACAAACCAGCATCTCTGGCCAGGACAGTGACATCTTGGAGCCTGGGCTGTACAAAAGCACTACTCACCAGACCCTAACAACTCTCCACTGTGTGATTTATTACCTGCAGCCCATGGGAGGGAGTTGTGGAGGGTAACTGGCACTGGTGACCTGCTGGGGCAGCTGGAGTGGGTGCTCTGTGGGACACAATGGCCTTCATCTGTAATTTATTGGCAATTATGAATTAGCTGTTAGATCCACTTCAGAGCTCCTTCCTGCCTTGCTCAGTCACTCAGCTCCCAGCTCTGCTGTGCTGCTCTGTCTCCCCATCAAAGCAAGCTCCTGGCTGACAGTTTGTCACAGGAGTGGTGAGCACAGCCAGGGGCACCTCCCAAGAGCTGTGGCTATCCCAGTCCAAACCCCAGAGGCACAAATGTGATACTCCTTTCTTTGTGGATGGGGTTTTTTTTCCCCTTGTTGTTTCCACAAGCTGCAGTTGCTCTGCCTCCCAGGCAAGCTGTGCTGTTGTGTTTGCACTGGCCTGATGCTTGCAGGGTTGTCACACGTGGTTTCCTTGGGATGGCTCCAGGTACAGAAAGGAGCCAAAGGAGGTGGAGAAGTGCCTTTTGCTCTGTCTCTGGACTCTTGCACAAGGTTGGCACAGCCTCAGGCCTTGGGACTCTCCATGCATGGACTCACCAAGCAGCTGAGGCTGGAGCAAACATCTAACCCCAGACAGGTTCTGTCCTCCCTGCAGCTTCAGAGCCTCTGTCCTGTTTGGTTTGAGCCTGAACCAGTGCCCTGATGAATGTGGCTCTTGTCAGCACCCTCCACCTCAGCCATCTTCGGTTGGGGGGGCTGATCTGGCTGATGAAAAGGACCCATGTGGATCTGGGAGGGGGGACAGGACCCACTGTGGGACCAGGGAGAAGGTAACCTCGGCAAAGACCAGGAACTTGTTCCTCTCTGAGCCCTGCTGCTGGCCAAGGGGGGAGATGGTCTGGGAATAGGGGTCCAGTTGGCTCTTTGGAGGAGATGCCTGGCTCATGAACAGAACAGACTCCCCTGCTTGGGACAGCTACTTCTGCCTCCCTCCTCCCCAAGTGAGCAAGGTGTAATTAGTATCAGGTGCAGCTTGTTTGCTGCACAGCTACCATCCTTTGCCCTCCATGGTGACTTTTGGTAGGGCTTCCCTGAATGGGCTCCCTTTCACAGTGCAGTGCTAGGAGAAACAACCGTGCTGAGGCTTTTGAAGGATTTAGGAGGGTACATCCTGCTTGTCTTTCAATTGTTTTGTGATTGATATCCATCTCCTAGTTCCAATGGCTTCTGCAGCTTCTATTCTCCCTATCCAAGCAGGAATTGGGCAGAGACAGCTCCACCTGGAACCCTGGCTGGGTTTTTGTTTGCATCTGTTTTCTCTTCCCTGGTTAGAGCAGATAATGAGGAACTGGGGCCCTTTCTCAGGCAAGAAAGAGACTTGATCTGGAATGTGAGGATGGAGATGGGCATGGAGATGATCCTTGGTCCCAGTGCCAAAGTGCAGTCAGTGATGAGGGGATTGGGGTCCCCTGCCAAATGCTGGCACTCCTGTTCTCATTAGAACCAGCAGCGCAGCCAGCACCCAAAAAGCTGTGCCCCTGTTCCTCACCATGAGGCACCACAGAGCTCTGCTGTTAAACACTTTATTTCTCCCTCACTGTAGCCCTCCCTTCCCAGAGCAGACACTCTCCTATCCTCCCCTCGCAGCTCCAGGAAAGGCTGTGGGAGAGGGCTGATGGCCTCCTTTCTCCATGGCTCCGGAGGGAAGGATGCTGTGCCTGGGAGGGACAGCCCTGTGCCTGGAGTGGGGACAGGAGGGACAGGTGTGGAGCAACGCACCCAGAGTGCTTCAGCACGAGCAGTCACTCAACCAATGCTACAGGAGGGAGGTGGCTGGGGTTAGAGGGCCACCTCTGGTGCTGTGGCACAGGGGAGGGCAGCAGGCTGCTGCTTTAGAGAGCCGTGTCCTCAGATTCGATGCGAGGCCCAAAGAGCTTCTCTGCAGTTGCTTTGCCGTCGTACTTGGGCAGGTTGCCACCAAAGTCTGCTGGCAAGATGTCAGCATCGATCTCCTGGTAGAAGGATTCCAGCTCCTCACCATGCACAAAGACCTGGGGGGAGATGGGAGTGACCCTCAGCAGAGGACCAGGGCAGCTCTTCCCAACTGCTCCGTTTCACCCAAGGACATGCCTTTCCCTGCAGGCCCCTTTCCCACACTCACCCTCTCCAGCAGTTTGCTCTTCAGGAATGGTTTGACCACGTTGTAGGTGGTGGTGAAGTACCAAGGCTGGTGGATGAAGTGGACGGCCTTGAACCGCGCTGGGAAGGAGTCCTAGGATCCCAAACCCAGACACAGATGGTTACAGATGGTGCTGTCCACCCAGTTCTGAGCAGGCAGCAATGGATACACCAGCACTGCCATGGCTCTCCTTGCTCCATGTCCCCGTCTCTGTTCTGACCCAGAGGATCAACCATCCCCACCTCAGGAGTACCAGGGAGCTGAAGCACCTCCCAGACAGCTCACTGCTCCCACCCCATGAGAAGGACTTTCCCTGGGAAGAGCCAAGTGTCTGGCATTTGGTCCAAGGGCAGAAATCCTGGAGTACCTGTGAGTCTCCATCCAGCCTGGACCAGGCTGGGCTGAGAGACTCATGAGGAAAGACCTCCAGGCCATGCCCTAGGATGCTGCAAGGAGTGGTAGTACTGCTTCTGGTCAGGCATTTGAGAAGGCAGGGAGATGGGGTGGGGAAAATTTTGTAGGATTAAGCCAATTAGCTGGCAAGGCAGGGAGAGGATGATAGGGAACAGCGTCTCCAAGATGCTTTCTCATTGTTCCAGCATGGTGGTGATCCCAAACCCTGCTAGCCCTGCCTCTGAGCTCCCTGCTTCCCCAGGGTCCCCTCTGCCACTGCTGGGTGCAGACTTTGCCACCTCACCTGCAGCATGTCCACCATCTTCTTGAGCTCGGAGGGTTTGATCCCTGACGCCTGCTGCATGGTGAAGCCCTTGAAGTTCTCAATGATGCAGAACCCATTGATCTGGGTCTCTTCGTTCTCCAGCAGCTTCTCCAAGATAATACAATAGGCACGAAGGATCTAATGGAGAGGAGAGACAGCAGGGTCTTGTATGAGGTCTCACCTCCCATAGACCCTAGGGGTACTCAGGAAGAGTCCCATGGAGTGTTATGCAGGGTCTGTTGGACTCCAGCCGGCTTGTCACAGCCAGCCCCCAGATTTCAGAGCAGGGAGGGGGTGACCACATTCTTTTTTCAAGTCATGGGCATCAGATCTAGATCAGTGATACACTGAGACCAGACTCAGAGCTGAGCAGAAAAGGAAACTGGGAGAAGATTTGAGTTACATGCCTGAAGACCTCTTTGCCAAGAAGCCCTTCCCATGCCCTCAGCCTCAGTTTCCTCCTCTGCCCTTGATTTAATTGTGTGGTGCCTTTCTTCAGCCCATGTTACATGGGCTGGGGGATGCACACCCTGAATTTGGCATCTTGCACTGCATCTTTTGGGATGGACCATGCTTTCCCAGGCTCCCTCAAAGGATAAATGCAAAGGGCTACAGATTTACTTCCACCTGTATGGCTGGATGGATGCACGTGTGTAAGGAGGCTGTGCTCAGACGTGCCGAGCGGGACAAGCCCAAAAGCTCCACTGCTGTGGGAGCAGCCTCTGAGCTGGGCTCACCTCATCGAAGGTGATCTCCTCGTAATCCCAGTTCTCGATGTTGAACAGCATCACCACCCGGCCGTACTTGTCCCTGCTGGCCAGGATGCCGGGGTAGCCGGCCTCGATGGTGCTGCGCACGGCCTCGGGGCTCAGGTTGTCAAACAGCTCCGGGTACTGCTGGCGGAAGTTCACGTAGCCTGGAGAGAGGAAAAAATTGGCAAAACTGGCTGCTTGCCCAGCCTCAGGAAGCTGGGGGAGCTGCCAGAGATGGGATGGGCTGGTGATGGTGAGATGTCAGAGCCCAAGAGCTGTAGAAAGCTCTGCCTGTAGCCCACATGGGTAAGGTCTCCTCCAGCAAAGGGGGAAAGGGAAGCTCAGCAGCAGACCAGCCCCAGCATGCTCGGTGTTATCCCTCCACTTGCCAGGAGCTTCCCACACCTGCTTTCTCTCCAACACCTTAACAAGTAGATGAAGTCATTTCCCCCCTCATTTCCCTTCTCCCTTTCCTCCCTGTTTGGGTGAAAACCCCCATCTACCCTCTCTTGGCACCCTGCAGGCACAAAGTAAGGAATTTCATCCTGGGAAAATACAGGCAAACAAAACATCTCGTCTGAGAGCCAGCACTGATAATTACAACTCATTATCCCCTAAGCTGACACAAAGAAGAGCAGAGCTGGAGCCAGGCAGGTTCCAGTCAGCAGCCCCCCTCTGGGCTGCCCTTCTGCTCCCCCTCCATCCCCTATGGGTCACTCTCAGTGTGAGGAGAGGGTGCCACAAGCACCCCAACCTGTCCCCAGACCTACAAGTGCCCCAGGGGTGCAGAGCCCCCCAGGCACAGCGCACAGAAGTGTGGGGAGGGTGCAGAACTGGCTCCTTACACGGGTACAGAGCAGGGAGTGTAGGGCATGTACAGGGCATGGGGGTCTCAAGGGGATGCAGCCCAAGCCAGCTGGGTTGGCTGCATGAATGAAACCATCACCAAATGTGAGGTTTTTTTCCATTTTGTTTGGGTAAACTTGTAAGGAATGGGACTGTCCTGGTGCTGCAGGATGCCTGGTGTCACTCTCATTTATTTCCTTCCCCATCCCAACTCCTCCCAAGCCCCTCAACCCTGACATTTTCTATTCATCCCCTCTCTTCAAAACCTGACTTTTTCTATTTACCCCCTCTCTTCATTCCCTTCCCATGTCAGGGTCCTGCTCTGCCAGCACAGCCCAGTCTGGGCTCGGAGGCACCAGCACAGGACTAGGAGCTGCTGGGGGATGTGTACCCTCATCCTCACCCAGCATCACAGCCCAGGAGCCCTCCCCACCTTTCAGCAGGTCATAGGCTCTGTGGACATCGAACTTGCGAGCACGGATGAAGCGGAGCAAGAAGGAGTCGTCCCTCTCCTGCACCTTCTCGGCCACCTTCTGGCACACGTCCTCGCCGCCCGCCCGCTCCTGCACCAGCTCCCGCAGCGCCTTCACCGCCACCTCCCTCTTCTCCTCCGTCTCGTTCAGCTCATCCTTTGCCTGGGGGAGCAGAGAGGGGACCCAGTGATGGGCACACGTGCTAAAACACCCCGGGAGTCGTGGAGGCATCCAAAAACTGGGGGAGGACAGCAAAGCTCCTTGCAGCATCCCAGCATAGGGAGGGCAGGGTCACTCAATCCCCAGCCTGGAGATATTTTGGTAAGTGCATCCCCCCCCAGTGCAAGAGACAGTCAAGAGTCTCCTCTGGCCCCTGAGGAGCAGGAGCCTCGGGCTGCTCCTTCCCCCCGTTCCCCACAGCCATCTCACCTTCTGCAGGGTGTGCGGGGGGATCTTCTCGCACCTCCCAAAGACGGGGCCGTGGTCCTTGGTGGTGAGGCGCTCCAGCTTGGAGCGCAGCGCCTGCTCCTCCTCCGACACAATCCGGAACGTGCCCGTCTGCGGGGAGGAGAGCATGTGGGGGCTCCCCAGACTGCCCCCCAGCTCCCTGCCCCACTGCAAGTCTCCTTGGGAGCTCTGGGGAAGGGGAGAGGCTCCACACATGCACCCAAGGGGGTGCAGCGGGATAGGGATGGACTGTGTGCTGCTTGGACTAAGGTGCACCCTGTGCACCCCACCCCAGCACTGCAGGGAGGGCAGTCAGGGCCCAGAGGATGGGGCAGCGTGGGGACAGTACTCACAACTGCAGACATGCTGTCCTCTGTCTTCTGTCGGCAGCAGAACGCTGGCAGAGGGAAGGAGGAATCAGCATGGATCCAAATGCTCTCCACAGCCCCCCTTATGCCCCATTTTCTGCACAGCTTGCACAGATGGGGGCAGAAGTGGGTGTCCAGAGGACACCCCCAACGCTCCTCAGCTCCATCACCTACTGCATGTATCTCTGCCTGCCCGAGGAGGCTGAGCAGCCTGGAGAAACACCAGGGATGTTTGCAAAAGCAGCTTAAAAATCTGTGTATTGATCATCTGAAACCTTCATGTTTTTCTCCCTCTGCCTTTTCCTCTTTGGGCTGGGGGCATCTCAGCCTGCCCTCACCCAGGTGGTCTCAGACCACCTTCACATTGGCAGAGGCGAGCAATCCAACTTTGGCCAGGCAGCCAGCTCCTGCTTTTATTTCTGCTACCAAAATAAGTAATATTACCAAAATAAATACTCATCCCCACAGTGTTTCCCAAACTCTCAAGTCTCACTGCTCCACCAACTGCAAGGCTAGACTGTAAACCTGTCAGCATCTTTCCAAGGCAGTCTGGGTGAAACACCTTGTTCCCATCCACGAGGAGGAGAGCTGCCTTCATCCTGCCTGCAGCACCTACCCCTGCCTGGCTGCAGCAGCAGCTCCAAGCCCAGGCTGTGTGAGGGATGCTCGGCTCCAGCTCACCCATTTCCCAGGGGCATCCTCTTTCCCTCCACCTCCTGGGAAAGTGATAGGCATCCCCTTGTTCCAGGCATCAAAACCAATTGAAGCCCTGGAGGTGCCAGATTGAGTGAGGCTGATGGTCTTCAACGCAGTTCTTCCAGCTGAAAAATGTCCTGGATACTCACCAGGAAGAGGAAGAGCTGAAGTGTCCTCAGCAGGTCAGTGCACAGAGCTGAGAGGGAAGCAGGGCTGGCGAGGCCGGAGTGGAGCAGCAAGGAAGCCGGGCAAAGCTTTGTAGAGTCACCGGGTTGGGATTAGACCGTCACAAGGCATCAACTCACTGCAGCTTTGTAATTAAGTCAGCCCAGCCCAGGAAAGAAACCCCATTAAAACATTACAAAAGGCAGCTGAGGAGAGGGAAGGAGGGAGCTGGGGTTCCACCAGCAGCCGGGGCGTGCATGGAGAGGCGGGCTGGATGCCGGACCCGATTAACAAAGTATAAAAGCTCCTTGTTGTGTAACTCGCTCATTAGCACGGGGCAGGGGCAGAGGCAGGTGGTGGGCAGCCTGCCATGCCGGCCTGCTCCCCGGGGTGAGCAGGACAGGTCTCTTCCCCAGCTTCTGCCCCAAAAACCTTGGCAAGGTCCTGCTGTGAATCCAGCCGTGTGGGCAGGGTCTGGCTGCGGGTATGGGTCTGTGGCAGAGGATGCTCCTGGGGCTCTCCAGTTCCTCCCCTATGAGGCCTCCCAAACCAGCATCCATACAAGGCCCCTTTCAGCTTTTGTAAAAAAAAAAGACACGAGCAAAATTTCTACAATGGCCTCAAGTGATGATTGACTGCTCGGAGCTCTGGGAACTGGAGCCCATTCCAGCCCCAGGGAGATGCCCCAGGATGTGGGAGAAACAAAGCTCAGTCCACATGTGGGTGCAGCAGGATGGCAAAATGGGTTTTCTTTGATGCCTCAGCATGCTGAAGCCACATAAGGCAGGATAGCCCTTGCAGCCTTGATTCTTTGGGTCAAGGGTTGTGGGAGCTGTGTGAAGATGTGGAGAGGATGGAGCTGTGCTCAAGCCCAGGAGAGGAGCTTGGCCATGATGGGGATTTTGGGGAGGTGCCAGGGCCAGGCTAAGCACCAGAGCAGGGCTGAAGGGGCTTACACAAGGCATGTTTTGTAATGCCTCTGGGATTTACGGATTTGGTTTCCACACAGGGCTGTCCTGCAAGCGGAGCTGAGACCCCAGCGTGAGGGAGGAAGGAGGAGGAGGAAGGCACGAGACTCCAGATGAAAGGCTGGGGTGCTGCTGAGGGAAAATTCGGACCTGTGCCAAAACCCTGAGCAATGCCAATGTGGCCTGAGGCAGTGCACTGCTCTTCAGAGGAGACCCCCAATGCTCCCATCCCCTTCCCACAGCCCTGGTGCAAGGCTCAGCTCCCTCCTACAGCACGTTGGACCGTTGTGTGCAGCTCAGCACAAAACAGTGCATAACAGGGGTACATCATCAGCACGGACTTTCCCAAATAGACCCAATAATGCTCTCTTGGGATGCCAGAGAGAACCTGCGATCCCTGAGGCACCTGGGCATCCTGGCCAGCATGGTCATCGCAGGTGAAATAGCTTCGCAGACACATGTACCACCCCTGGCATCACCAAGCGAGTGTTTTGTCCTGGATGAACGGGTCTCAAGGGGGACCCACCCCGATGTACTGTGACAGAGTCCTAAGCACACCTCTCTTCCAGGTGTGGTTATCCCGCTGCCCACAGCCCACGGCAAACCCGCTCCCCTCGCTCAGCAGCACCAGCTCCCGCTCCACGTGAGCACGGCGCTTGCGAAAGCTCCCACGCTGCGCTGGCACCGGACCCTTTGGCCAAATCCCGCTGCTTAAAGGCGGGCTACAGCTCCTGGTACGCTAAGGGCGTACCTCATGTCCCCCGGAATTAAGGGGTTTACTCGAATGTACCTGAGCCGCACGTGGGTGGCACTCGCTGGCGATGCGGGGTGGCGCTGAATGGGCACTTTGTGCAGGATGCCCCGGCACCGCGGGCTGTGCACCCCACGTGCCTGCACCCCACTCCGGTAGCGTTTTCACTGCGCGGCACCACGCACCGCAACAGGCTGCCCACAGAGGCCGCGGAGTTACCCTCACTGGAGATATTCCAGCACCATCGGGCTGCAGGGCTGTGCCAGGTGCTCTAGGACGACCCTGCTCGAGCAGGGCGGCCGCAGCAGGTGACGCACCGCTGTCCCTTCCAGCCTGACCACTCTGTGACTCAGTGACACCGCCGCGCACTCTGCCTCCCCCCGCGGGACTCGAACCCGCGGCCCCGCGGGCGGCGCGGCGGGAAGCGCGCGCCGGGGGCGGGAGCTGTTCCCCGGGCGACGCGCGGGCACTTCCGGGCGCGAATTTCGGGGCTCGGAGCCGCGGCCCGGCGGTCGCGGGCGGTCCCCGGCCCCATGGCCCAGCGCATCCTGTCGCTGGCGGCCGAGCAGGGCCCCGAGCGGCTGCAGGAGGCCCTGCAGGGCCTGACGGAGGGCGAGGTGGGGCGGAGAGCGGGGCCGGGCGGGAGCGGGGATGCGCCGCGGGCGGTGGCTCACAGCGCGCCCTTCTCTTGCAGCTGGGCGACATGGTGACCAGGCAGGCCCTGAAGGGGAGGGAGACGGCGGCTCTGCTGAGAGGGATTTTCAAAGGTGGGTGATGTGCTTGCTGCGCTCGGGGGGCCCAGCCCGTGCTCAGCAGCACAGGGAAGTGTCGCTTGTGGCGAGCAACCCGCTCGTCAGGGCTGTCACAGGGAAACGCGACATCCATAAATACGTGCGGGGAGACAGCAAACTGGACTAGGGTTGGGAAGAGCCCGCGGTAAGTGCGATTTGCTTTTGAGAGCCCTTAGGTAGCTTGCAGTAGCACTGAGCTGGCCAGGTGAGAGCCAATTGCCAAGCTGGTTCTTCTCCCAGTTTTGACACTTCCTGATCCCTGGGAACAGGTTGAGTGAACCACAGGATGTGCTAACAGGGTGGCTGACTATTTTATCCAAGTATCTCGTTTCCTGTTCTCTGGGGTTTTTTTATTTATTTTGTCAGATAGGTAAAACAGGAAGTTGCAGCCAGGTGACAGTTTATCCCTGCTGATTTCCTGTTGTTTAGCAACATGCTACTTGCATAACTTTTCTCCCCATTCTTTTGTCCCTCTCTTTGCTTGCTGCAAGGCTCCCCCTGTTCCCAGAGAAGCGGTGTTCTCAGGAGACTCCAGGTTTACAAGCACTGCGTCCCGCTAGTGGAGTCAGGGGACCTGCATTTGGGCAAGGTGTCTGAAATCATAGGACTGCTGATGCTGGAGGTAAAGCTGCTTTGGGCTGGCTTTCCTGGGCTCTGTTGAGTATAATTTCGTATGTAAATTGAGATACTTCACTAAACCACTGAGGAAAATTAGTTGTATCCTTTCCATGGATCTTTCCTAGACTAAATTAGCTGGTATTGGAATTGGCTCTGTGTGTGAACTTGATTATCTTTAGATAGTTAATCTCAGGCTCAAAACTCTAAACCTATAATCACATAATCTTGATTTATTGCTCTGTTCTGTAAAGAGATCTCAGGGCTGAATTTTTCCTTTAAGGGAGCATTTCCCTGTAAGAAATTCTGTCTTCTGCTGGGTTTTGGTGACAGTTTGGATGTGCACATGGAATTCTCTGCACTGCCTCAGGCTCTCTCCTGTTGTATGTTCTCCCAGGCCCGCCAGCTGCCAGGCCACGCGTTGGCAGAGCTTGCCAGCCTGTTTGTGGATGTCATTAAAGGGGGCAGCCTGACCAATGGGAAATCCTTGGAGCTGTTTTCCACTGTTCTCACGGCCCTGGCCAGTTCAAAGGAAAACCTGGCTTATGGGAAAGGTAACCCCCTATCAGCTCCTTCTCTGCAGCTTGTCCTCCCGTCCTCTGGAATCAACTCCTAAGACTTTTGTTTTTTCAGGTGAACTGAATGGGGAAGAGTTTAAGAAACAGCTGATAAATACCCTCTGCTCCAGCAAGTATGTATGTCTGGCAGGTCTGGGTCACGTGGCAAAATATTGTGTTTCACATTGTGCTTGGAAAAAGGCATCACCATGGGCTGT